GGAATCGCGGGTTATTCTCGGCAAGCCGGTGGTAAACAAATGTCAAACTCGGATGGCAGATGTAAAATGGGAGCGCGCGCGATATCGATTACGCTTCCGCGTTTGTTCTCGTTTGGCGTTCGCCAAAATTGTCACGCGCTTGCTCAACTCGTATATATGTGTATACGCCAAACTATTCTTTGACGCGGTGTTGCATTTTTGTTATGGCTTCTCTAACAAAGCGGCCGCAGCAGTTTACAATGCGCTCGTGCACGCGATTCCTCCTCGAACGCGTGTACCCGTGTTGTTTCGAATCGCCGCGGGCGAAGGCGGAAATCGAGAGGGTGCAACGACAGTTTTATATAGAGAACGAATCACGGCTGCATAAATTCATCGCGAAATTTCGCAATTTCGTGTTGGCCGACCAGTCAGCAAACCGACGGGAACAAATCGATGCCCTCTGGGCCCAACAACGACAAATTAATATAGCTCCCGTCAGACTGCATCGATGATATGCACCAAATTAATGGAATGATTATTGTGCGAACCGATATTATTAGATGCATGCATGAAAAAAAATTCTTTCCTCTCCATTTCTGAAATTCTCATATGGAATTAATTTTGCAAGAAATTATATCATGCTTATTAAATTCTCTGCATCTAAATGTGAAGTTTAATTTTATAGGGAGAGGGAAAAATTACGTCTATTAATTTAATCTTAAACTTTATACACATTCCAGACATTAACGCGAAATAAAGTGCGAAATAAAGTCTCGCGATATCTCAAGTTTCTAACTATTTCGGATCTCTATTTTCTAATTACGTTTATATCGTTTTCTTGATGTTTTTCAACAAATATATCGAAGAAATATAATTGAGAAGAAAAAGAATATGAAAATCTGCTATGAATAGAGCCACGCTTCTCTTGGTACCGGTTGATAGTTTAATCAAATATGTGTGATAGCGATTCGTTATCGCGGAGGGCGCATCGAGAACGGCCTGAATTTTCTTTTAATATTCTGCGCCTGTTGCGGGGATTTATTTGTATAACTGGACCACTTGAATAAAGTCGCCAGTTCATTGTTCATCGTCAGGAGAGTCTGGTCTCATTTTACGTTACGCCTCGATGACGGTATCGACAACGACGCGGAGAACCCGGCGGCGACGCGATCTCGAGAGGAGACTACTAGTAGGTGTCGGGACTTCCATTTTTCAGTTTTTCCCCATGCAGGTCGTGCGACTTGTTTTTTTTTCCTTTCCTTCTACCGCTCTCGTCGTCGTCGGAGCTTCCCAGGTAGCAGCGAACCGTGCTGTTGTCGGCGGGTTGGTTCGCGGAATCACATGACGGTCGCAAAAAAAGATAGGAGGGAGCGGAAGAAGAGAAAGAGAGAAGAACACTTTGTTGAGAACGAAGGGTACGAACGCGACGATTAACTGAAAAACTCGTGTTCAATTTACGAAAGCTCAGTTTACCCTCTTGCTATCTTTATGGCAGTAACCTTTCTTCGATATACAAGGTGCCCCGAGTAATCACAGTTCCCTCTTCGAGTACTTGTCATTATTCTGACAATTGATTATTGACTTATATTCTGAATCTTTTTACATAACTGTACGCGTCTATGTCTTAATAATAAGCCTTAACGATGAATTGTCACATTTTTATGGCTTGAATTTCAAGAATCGCAGATTTTGTGTACCATGCTTTTTCAAAATATTTGATCCTCTAAATTTATAGAGCTGCTAAATTTTTAAAAAACTTTTATTTCCTCGAAATGCTTTAATACATATACGTTGCTACGTCCAGAGTTAAACGAAATCAGAGTAAAGCGAAAACCACTTTGACGTGAACCACCCTGTACTCGTCTTTCTCTCTCTCTTTCATCCACTCTCTCGTTCCTGCCCTCTCGTCTTCTTTCCTTTCGCGTGCGTACTCTTCACTACTTCCGCCCTGGTTTATACGTACTTATGAGCTGCTAAGCTTCTAAGCTTGCACTTGACGGTTGGTACGTAGTTGGTACTCGGCCGCCGCACGGAAAAGCTTGCGAAGTTTATTAAAGCTCGACTCTCCCGACGGCCAAACGCGACGAAAGATTTCATCTGAATATATACTATCAGCTTGTGTGCCGCTTAAGCCGATTCGCTCTCTCCCCCGTTGTGATAGTCATTCTCTTTTCTTTGGCCGTGCTGTGCAGTTTCTTTCTCCTTCCGGCGGCTTGCCGATGTAGTAACCCGACCACTTAGCGATCTCATTGCGTATGCATTTTAAATAAGACATCCGGACAACACGGATCCTCCATTTTACTAAGAGATTTAGTCGCCCTGCTATCTAGTCGCGCTTGTCGCGAAACGAGGAAACTATCCAACTCTTGTAGTTGAAGTTTTTACAATTAAAAAGCTGTTTATCACTTCTTCAATTTAATCGTTTTAATTTTATTTGTGTAAAACAATCAGCAAATAAAAATCTTTTCTAACAAACTTTACAGAATTGTTGTCGATAATAATTGATGAAATAAATTTAGGCGTCTTGCCAAATATTATAATATTTGTTGCACAAACGAGAATTTTTGGTTCTCCGTTGAAATTTTAATTTTTAAAGAATTTATCTTATATCTCTTTCTAAATGGATTAGATTTATCTCGAATCTTTATTTTTTTTAAATCCGCGAATGTAATAATAAAGATCAATTCTATAAATACTCTTTTTTATTTCAATTATATTTTCTTTCTATATATATATATATTTCAATTTTAAATTATATAATATTAATATTATTTCACTAAATTAGAACATTTTAAATGATATTTTATCTACAATTTTTATTTTTTGAGGACTTTTATCCTAAATCAAGAGGCTCGCAAATGTGAGCGATAGGCACGCGTAGGGTGTTTAATCGCCTATAGCTAGAAGCGCTTACAATGGTAATATTAACGTTCTGTAATATTAACGTAAGTCAGAGGGAGAGAGTTGTTGCCATGTTTTGTTAATGTCAGCCATGCCGTTAGACACGTCGCCGCTGTGGCTCCGCCACAATGACAACGATGATGATGAAAATGCAACAGCGATAAGATGATACTATATACGGTTTAATTAAAATAACGTCAACAAGGGCGCGCGATGCTCTCTCTTGCGTGACAATTTCTGAAATAGTACTTTCGTGGCGTAGAAACGGGGGTTGGGAAGAGCAGGAAATTGGCAACCGGCTAGTTACTGTGAAACGAAGGAGCGACATTACGTTTTGTAATACCACTACATACGTAAGCTAAATCTTGAAACTTCGGGATAATTGAGGTGCCCTCCGGCGTATATAATCTCGTTTAATTTTCATCTATAGATTTCTCATTACGAATGATTATAAAGAGCCGTCTGCTAGAATTAAGATAATATCAACATAAAAAGTTACATGTCTTTCGATACAAATTTTTAAGGTTTATACGAAAGAGTATATCTTTTTGATCAGATGGAACAAATGGATGGATCAATCTGCATTTTTTCTTGAAGCAGACAATTTCAAAGATCTCTTTGAACTCTGAGAAATATTGGTACTCTGAGATATCCACCGCCTTTCCACAATCGTATTTGAGAGCGCAACAAGCACAAAAATGTTTGATGTTGAAAGTACATTCGCCCGTTCGTTATATAATGTGCTAAGTTGTCTGCTGGTAAGTTAATTTATTGCAAAGATGGTGGATGGAGTGGCTCGAAGCACAAAGCGTCTCAAAGTAACGGAATTACACTCGAAATTGACGATGCATTACGCTAGAAAGGGCTAAAACGTGTATCGAATTTACTTTCGCAATATTCTCCCGCGCGGCTGATCTTTATAGAATTATTACATATAGTCTATTCCCGCGAGATGAATAAACTTATTCGCGAGGCAACAATTGCTGACGAATAAAACAAATTTGTGACTAACCGAAAATTATAAAAAGCTGCTGCATCGAGGAAAGAATTAGCGCGAAATTGATTGTGACGTCCGTTACGTAAATTCTCGAGCAACGATACGACCGCGTTATAGAATCGATTTATCGATCGCCCCTCGGAGAACGCTTCGACGCGGAATTATCCTTCGCACCCTTTACGGCCGCGGACATACCGGAAACTCGAAGACGTAAACCTTCGGCAGATTTCGGCGACGTTCCCGGCGGTCGTGCAGGATATGCGGTTGCGAGTGCAATGTCCCAACCCGGGTATCGGGAGCACGACGCGGTTCGACAAAGATAAACGGCGCGAACCAAACGGCGGAGACCGAGGAAGCTCGGCTGACGGAGACGGCGAGCAGGAACGGGCAGAAGATGAGAGAGATACGGTGCACGTGAACGCAAAAGGGAGATAGATAGTGGACAAAGAGCAACGGGGGAGAGTGGGGGTGAAAGTTTGAGGAAGGACGAGAGTGTTGCGTGTTCGGCGGGGGCGCGAAAAGGACGGGGAAGGACACGAGGAAATATAGCGAGCGATCGTGTGCAGGTGCACAGGAGAGGATCCGCGTACGGGCGGGTGAGTTGTGCGTACCAATCGGCGGGTACAGAGTACGGTCCGCAGGCACGCAGGAGGAGGCGAAAACCGGGCACAGCCCCAGGAGCGCGGCGGTGGCTTCCGCCATACGGGGCAAAACCGCCCCACGCCGGACCCGGGAAGCGGCGCGCGTCTGGTTGCGCTGGGTGGCGGGTTGCACTATCGGGTGGCGCGCGAAAAGGGGGTTCAACTCGACTCGATGTGCCAACGAGCGCAATAGAGAGAATGAGAGAGAGGGAGAGAGGAAAAGAGGCGAGAAGGCGAGAGAGATCGCGGGGGTGGCGAGGTGGAGGACACGTCGGTCAGGGGAAGGGGAGGAAAGCGAACGCGAAGGGAGTGCGGGAGGGAAAGCTAGAGAGCGGCAAGGGTGGTGGTGGTGGTAGCGGCGCCGACGACGGCGGCAGCAGCGGTCTTCGGGTGGTGCCGGTAGAGCAACGGAGGGTAAACGGAGGGAAGGTAGCGCAGCGGTGGCGGCGGTGGCGGCGGCGAACATAAAATCCCTCGCACATGCCTGGTGCATTCATTAGGGGGGATGTGCCCGTGCAGCGTACACGTCGACCTGCATCCACGTCACCCTCTCTCTCTCGGTGCCACCCCTGGCCTCAGTCGCGCTCCGCGGCCAACTTAGTGCACACGCCACTCCGTTGATCCTCCCTGGCTGACTCACTCGCGCTGCTATTCACTGCGTCGTAACCGTCTCCCGTCGTCGACGTTACATCCTCGAGTTTCCGCATAAGATCTCGAGTTCGCTGTGATACGCGCGCACCGTCGTAACGTGTGTCACACGCGTCGTCGCTGAATTTCGATCTTGCTGATTACGAATTTGCGCCTCGCGCCAACGGAAGACGATGGCCGAGACGAGCTGAAAGGACTTGGCGCGCAAGCCGATACGTACGGGTACGAGTGCGAGTTGATAATCCGAGTGCGCGAAAGTAAACACGCATCGTACACGCCGCGACAGACTTTCGGTGCAAGGAGAATCCGCGAAGGCCCGCGGCCACTTCCGGAAGCGGGAGCGGAAGAGGGGCTTCCTCGTCGTCCTCGTGGAAGATCGCCGACGGAAGATCGTCCATCCCGTCTTCAGGAGCGCAGCGTCCGAAGAGGATCACGTACGACAACGACACGGCTCTACGCGCCGCCGAAGGCTGCGGGAGGCCGACGGGATTTCATGTTCACGAATTTCAATAAACCAGGTAACGATGCGCCCGAGACTCGCCGGCGACGGAAAGTCAAGCCGCACGGAATTGGCGCGTCGACGTTTCGCAATCCTCGTTGCCGTGGCGGGACGCGCCGCATCGCGTTTTCGCCGCGATCGGAAAAGGGCGGGAACGCCACGGGGAGGGGATTTATCGATCGCGCGATCGATGGCACGCGCGTTTCCGCCCGACTTTTCCTACGGGGGCGAAAAAACGGACGGAGGGACAGGAGGGTCGTGCGTCACGACGTTCCATCGACGTCGCTTCGAAATTGCTCGCCGCAATGTGCTGTCACTTGCGCTCCTTTTCTGCTCGCTATCTTGGAGACTACGAATTACAGCGGAAAATAAATTTGCATGGACGAGAAGCGGCGCGCGTATACCGTAATACATTCTCTGGACGGGCTTTCATCCGCGCTGTAGTAAATAAGTAGAATCAATCGCGAATTGAGCGGAAAATTCGGCGGGGCACAACCCGAGAGAAGTGTCGTTGACGGGAAAAGTAGCGGGAAGTCATGCCAGGGAAAGTGGCGCGTATTTTTATATTCGCGAGACATCGATAGAGGAGCGGTCGTAAATATGACTGAATGTTAATCTTGTAATGTAACACTTGATAACACGCTTCATCAAATCATGTTGTTTATCAGCTCGGCGTCGAGTCAAATACAAGCGAACTCGTTAGCGGGAAAAATGCGCAGTAACGTATGCGGTTTCGCGCTGGCTTCGAGAGCTGGGCAGGTGCAAGGATGCAATTATTTACGGTGGGACGGTATGGTCGGATTCGAATTTCCATATTTTCGCTATTCGTTTGCACGAGTATTATTACTGCGCCTGCAGTAAAAGATGCATGGTATTTCCGATGAAATATGCCGCACGTTCAAGAAACGTGCCTTCCAAGGCGGTCTTATCTTAGCTTGCTTCTTTCTCGTTCGAGCCAGAACGATTTTGATAAAATAGAATTTTGCATAGCGATAGGGTACAATCTCGAAAAAATTTAATATCTGAAACGTAAATTTTATTTCTGCATATTTGACGCTTTAGATGATCCGTGAAATATATTGCTTCCTTGAGAAACTTGTCTTAAAAATAGATCTTATTTTATCTTTCTTTTTATATTCAAAAGGAGAAAAAATTAGTAAAAGAGTAATTTCTTTAGAAAACTGATTTATAAAACAAAATTTTACTTATTGTGTAAATAATCTACGAAAAAGAAAAATATCATTTCTGAAAAATATTTATCATCGAAAAAATACTCAAACGCACAATATTTTTTTACATAATAGTGGAGAGAATTTTAATGTAATAATTACAGATAGATATTGGACGAAACATTGGCTGAACCTTAATGTGAATTACAGGCGCTGATACTTCTATTTGAACGATGTCGATTAGCATCGCTCTTTTGGCGGAAAATACAATATTTGACAATCCGGGCCGCAGGAAATATTGCCATCGATTTCAATTAATTTCTGCGCGGGGATAGTCGTACGATTCATAGCGCGTTAATTACGAATGGGGGCGGCTGTTACGAATGTTAACTAATTTCAGCTTCGCATTTCAGCGTATTTGGCAGCATTTTTTCCGCGCGTCATAACAGTGGCGGCGGAAACAGTGGCGGCTATGTCTCTCATACACACACCATACGCTTGGTTAATGCCGCCGCTCTACGTCAAGCTTAATTTTTAATCTGCCGCCTAGCGCCGTGTCGTGAAATAATTCGCCGCTTATTATGCAAATTTAATCGCGCGTTTATCGCGAGGCGCACTAATCGCAGATAACTTTCCCGCTTAACTTCACCGTCGCGATGTGTTTTACTTCTTTTTATTTTCCGGCGCAACAAAGAACGTCCGAGCCGCTTTGTTTTCCCGGCAGCAGATACGCCCGCGTTTAATCCCCTCTGCGATCCCTCTCGACGCGATCATTGTGTCGTTGCCGTCCTTATAGTCGTCGTCTAGGTGGTTGCGCGCGACATTTATGTTCGGACACCAACTCAAATCGCGGCTCTTACTGTCAACAATCAGCATCCATTCAATCACTGATCAGACGTCCCTCTTTCGACACGCGGCAAATTAAAATAGAAAAAAAAATTAATTCTTCTGATTTTACTTACTCTCTTGCAAGGTGTCTGAACATAAAGATGTCAGAAAAATCACTCGGAGATTCTGGGTCGCGATTCGAAGAATAGATCGTCTCGCAAGAAGACGAGCTGAATTTTCATGGTTCCGAGAGACAGATACTCCCGAATGAGCTTAATTCTCCAAAGTTTTCCGAGTCCCATCATCTTCGCGAGGGTGGTTACTCGGAACGTCTCAAAGCGTTTCTATTATTCGGATCGCTCTGCTCTGGTCTCTGGAGTCATTTGGAGGGATATTTTGGAGCGTGGAGCTCTCGAATACGTTTCTCCGCTTCGTCGTATACTTGCTAAAAAGTCACAGCGTATTCGGCGTGAGGGCAATGTCGTAACGACATTGTATGTCAATGGCGTGGCGTCTGCTCGCAAAAAAAAAAAAAAAAACGGTTTCGTTTGAAGATTTCGTGCTTCAAAAACGCATGCCCTTCCCGTCCGCTTTTTCGTCCCGCGAATATATTGTAATCGGGGAAAATGCATACCCGAATGTGCAGCGGTGCGTCCTTTATCGGCGCGAGAGCGTTCTATATAGAGCTTTTCCGAATGTTTCCACGTTATCGCTTCTGTTTGCGTCATGGACTCGAACTTGCAATTCCTAATCGATCCGAGGCGCCAGGCGGGAATCTCGCAGTAATAGAAACGCTGGCGTCTCTTCGGCTCTTTGCGCGTTTACGTCGACGGAGATACGAAAAGAGAGAGAGAGAGAAAGAGAGAAAAAGAGTCAAGTAGTTTCTATTTTTCTACGCTCATTGCTCAAAGCGAAAGTCTATTTTTTTACGTCTCGTGAACTGTACTTTGCTCAAGAAAAAGCCCGAGAGACTCGGTTAAATAGTCGATATATAGAAAACGGGAATTCACGCTCGCGTGCAGCGCGTGAAGATCTACGCGCCGAAGATGAACTTCGGGCAACATCCAGAAGATAAAACGCGCCGCAACCTTGTGCCGAAAGCGGCGTTTTCCCGGCCAGCGCGGCCGCGCTGCAGCTGCGGGAAATGCATCGATCGCCGATGCATTTCGTCGGTTCCAACGTCACGCTTCCGGCGTCAAAGGGCCAAGGTCGGCCACGCTTAATCGCGTGGACGGTCGCGGCGATGACCGCCGACATCTTGCTGGCACGCAGGATACACAGGTCTGTTTCCCAAGAAAAAGAAAATATTTTCGTTGTCTTTTGCAAAAGGGGATCATTCTCTGACAAAAATATTAGCCTTGTTAAATGCATGGAATTAATTATGTAATATCGATACATTTAGATTTTAGATGCATTCATAAATTGCATACAGTGAGGGGGATAAGACAAAGCAATCTTTTCTTTTTATGTTAACGATTTTTAATCAATTCGAACAAGATATCAAGTAAAGTTTATTTTGAGAAACCGTTTTAAATCACGATATTATTGTACTAAAAAAAGATGATACGGGAATATTGAATTTCCCATTTACATCGCGTTTATCGTATCATCGTTTTGACATATGACCATTTTATTTTATTTATCGCATTTCTATCTTTGAGCGAGATATACTCGTGAGTCATAATTTTCAGCGATGCCGATGAAAGCGCGGATTAAATCTGTTAACAGCCGTTCAAAGCTTGTAAATCCGCGTTGGAAATCTCGGTTGAGGAGATTTTCCAATTTTCCCCGTTGCCTATTGATTTCGCGCGGGTAACGCGATTATCGTTTGTGGAAAACGGGAAAGGGAGGGAGAAGGATCGTATCAAATTAATATCAGAAATTCCGCGATTTGCGCAAATTACCGTTTATTACTGTTAAATGAAGCTGGAGGATCCGATTTGTGCATCGCGATTTTCCGTGAAATGGAAAAGGCTCTTTCGTGAAATTTTCTCTTTAATGTATCGAGTACTGTTCTCGACTGAGTATATAGCTCTTTCAGTAGCTATGACGACGTCGAGTAGAAAACTGGAGGGAAAACGCGGTCGTGGAACGCGCGCGTACGATTTTTCTCGCGCTGTTAAGCTCCACGCTTAACCAAATGGATGAATCCATGAGAATTTCCTTTTTACGCGTTGTATGCCGGCGACTAGTATTTACGCGAGTTGTACTCTCGAATTTAATCCGCATTTTCAATCGCGGTTTGCACAAATGTTCGTAGAATCTCACACATTGGCAAGAAAGACGAGGGATAAAATAATAGCACTAAACTTTTTTTTTTAATGCGTCAACACCTTATATAAAGCATCCTTCTTCATATACATATATCGTAAAATGCATAAGTAGGTAAGAAATCATAAAAAAAGTGTTGGAAATATAAAGAACTATTAGTTTCTTTCTTTTTTTGTAAATATGTAGTGAGAAAAATATACATTGGATAATAAAATTCTATTGACATTATAATTTAATTGATAATTTGCTATCTCTTCTTCATAGACATATTAAATTCCATAATTAGCAACATGAAAAAATGCAAATATATCACATTTATATTTTTTATAATGATTCAAAAATATATTTGGTCAATTATTTTTAAATTAATTTCATATTTTTTTCTGTCTAATCAAATTTACATTAAAAAAAAATTAATAAAAACATTTAAAAATAATAAATTGTTAGTTTTTTATGCACATTAATATCAGATTTTATTAAGCGTAGAATATAACATATTTTTTTTATAAATTGAGTGTCAGGTTTCTTGAAAAAAGCATGTCAACTACAAGTATGTGAAAAAGAAAAATTTTTTTGTAGGGATTAAATATATTTTAATATACTATCTCTGATTTTTCTTTTAAACTAAGTTTTGCAACGAATGTATGCTTTAAAATGAGTGATCTCGACTAGATGAATGGGTGAAATTAAATTACTATATCGAGGGAACCGCTCGAAAGTGCATCAACTCTAAATATAACAGTAACCATTTCATTCTCTTCAGGTTACACATTGCTAAAGTCCTATCGCAGCTTTTACGTAATTACGAAAGCATGATTTATATGATAATTATCATGACAAAAAATCAATAAGATAAGAATATTTATCTTAATGCATTTACGTAAGTTGCTGAGTAAATCAGCTGTTTATCTATTCATTATTTATTGCAGAATTATTTATTTTTCAATAATTGTCGTATATAATCAGCGTTTGATAAATATTTCGCACATTACGAATTTATAAATAAATAATAAATGGATAGAAGTGGGATCTTTAGTTTTTGCCATTAAAATTTAAGACCAAATTGTATGATTTAATATTTTTTAACAAAAAAAATACTAAATACATTATACATATCTCCGATTATTTTAAAATTTTTGATAGATAAGGATTTAATATTTTAAATTCCAACGCGTTTTTATAAAAATTGATTAATTGTAATAAGCATTAAAAATATTTAACAGAGATGTAACGCACGCGATGTAATCGACGGCGTGTTTAAATCGAGCGCCTTGCGCGCCATATATCGCGTACAGTCGTACTTACGGAAGCGTGCATTATTCGGAAAATAAGAACGCCGGCATCGCAGATCGATATGGCGGTGAGCGAGGCGCGAATTGTCCGTATTTCGACGCGATACACTCGGCCGGGATATATCGCGTAATCGTGCACGTCGCAGTTGCAGCATCTCGCACGCAATCTGACAGAAGACGCGACGCGTTGCCTTAACCGCGTTTGAATCCGAGCGCCCTTCGCGCCATTCCCCCGCGGCAGATGCACGAAGGTCAAAAGTATTTTAAAAATAAGGCCGTAGGCATTGGCAGATTGGTATGGCAGTGGACGTTAAGGGTCGGGTGGCGTTGTAATGGCAAAAAGTTTGCGAGAGGTGAGTAATCGACGTGTGCACGTTAGGTAGAGGCGTTATTTCGTGAACGGTGCACGATGCACGGCGCGTAACCTGCGTGAGATCGGCGTAAATAAAGCGTTGCGCTGTAGGTAGTACGAGTGGTTAGAAATCGGGCATCAACAAATCGAGTTTTCGCGAGGAGGCTCGTGGAGGCTAGACGAGCACGGCCGACAATGGCGCCCAAGCCTCGCGAATATTGACATTACCAAAAACATTATCTCCGAATATATCGGATTATTATCGTATACGTGGGTGGCACGTACTGCGTCGCAATTAGTGAGATCTAACCTCGCGGTGATCCCCGTGTCGCGGCTTATCACGTAGAAATCCGTCGCGGTTTAATTTGATCGGGCGATAAGGTTATGCTAAAAAATGTTTTCTGCACGTATAGTAGCGCGGCGTGAACCCTGAAGGGTTTTACAGTTATACTGCAATGTGGCACATTTGCAGAAGCACGGAGGACGTCGTGCGCGGGTTTAGAGTCGCGATTTAATCTGCTGGGAGATATTGTCAGGACGATTGGAAAGTGTGCGTGGAGAAAGTGTGTGAGTTAGCGATTTAAGGGTTAGGGAGGCATTCAGTTAGCCAGGGTTTGAGCATAGGTTTTTATGTAGACAGTTGAGGGCAACTAGTTTGGTTGTAGGGTCGGGATTGGAGATAGACAAGATGGACCAGCAGTATTGTCTACGGTGGAACAATCATCCAGCCAACCTCACAGACGTCCTGAGCTCACTGCTTGCTAGAGAGGCACTTTGTGACGTGACCCTGGCCTGTGTTGGAGAGACATTCAAGGCGCACCAGACCATACTATCCGCATGCAGTCCATATTTTGAGAGCATTTTCATACAAAACACCCATCCCCATCCAATTATATTCCTGAAAGATGTCAATGATACGGAGATGAAGGCATTGCTGCACTTTATGTATAAGGGCGAAGTTAACGTTAGTCAGCATCTGCTACCGATGTTCCTTAAAACAGCGGAGGCATTGCAGATTAGAGGCCTCACTGATAATAGTGTAAATAACAAGACGGAGGAAAAGAGTCCGTCACCAGAGCCAGAAACACAAACTGGAGTCAGACATACCGATTCGCCTAATCTCCAGTCTCATCCTGAGAAAAGGAAAAGAAAGCATTCAGGCAGCTACGATGTTTCCCTTTCTGGCCCACCTAGTGAGAGATTCTTATCCGATTCTCAGGTACGTAAATATATATTATCTTTTGTAACTGTATTTTGAAATAGACATCTCACTTTTTATCTTTTATTCTTTCTAACATGCACTTTTATTATAATATCACGTATCATTACGCACGTATCATTTTTTGTATCTTGAAGCTCAATTAAGAAAAATCAGAAATGAGCAACATAGTATATTTTTCCTTTAAGTTTATCCAAGAGTGTAATTTTTTCAGAAATATTTATTATTAGAATGTAGATTAAATATAATTTTATTTTATTTTTTGTTACATTTCTTCGCAACAGCATTAGATATTATGCTATATTTTTATTTGTTAACTGCATAAATTATGTGTTAGTATTTTTATTAAAATTTTTGCTTTTGAAGTCAAATATTATACGCTAAAAATTTTCACATAAAAACTGTTTTTGTGAATAAATTTATATAAATGTTGATTTCCGTTTATGTATCGGTAAACATATGTTACTGCTTAAAGATCTGCTTGATTGTGGTCTCACACATTATTATCAATGAACATTATATGTATGTGTGTATGATTGCACAGCTTTCCAAATAACTTTACTTGTAGCCTTGGAGAGTTTAGGCCGAAAGCTAATATCTGTTGTATAATTCATGAGACAGATATTACCATAAGGTGTTTCTATATATTTTGATATAAAAATTTTATGTTCAAGATGAGATATAATTTATCTGCTCCAAAATATCAGGCATAATTTAACTACAAATATATGATGCGATAATATTTCTAGATGTTATTGTTTAACAAAAACTTGTCTCTATTGTAATAAATCTATTTATTAATTTTAATCAACATAATTTATTAGTTTATTCTTTTTTTAAGAAAATTTTTTTTTTGATCAGGTTTTTCGTTGGAATAAGAAATATAGCATTTAGAATAAATTGAGAAAATTTGTAATTGATTGTTTTCAGACATCGTCGCAGTGTAGTTACAAATCAAGTCCTCCTGTAATTCCAAAGTTAAATAACGCCCTAGGAGTTGAGATGGAAGATGGTGGTCGACCCATGTCCCCTGCTTCACAACCACAGGCTTCTATAAAACAAGAGGTGGATCATCACTTACCGGACTTCCATGACAATATTTCCCTCCCTGTAAGTAATCTTTTATGTTTATGCATTTCACGTTTTCATTTTAGTTATTTCTTTTCATATATCTTGCACCTATATAGTTTTAAACATGTGTATTAACCTTCCAGCAAACATACACATATTTGATAACATAAAATAATAACTCCAAAAATTTAAAATTTTTCAAACTTTGCATGCTATTGTACGTAACAATATATGTGTATTTACTTTTTATTTTATCGGTGTAAAGTGATTATAAATATTTCAAAAATTATTTACAATTATTGTTTATACATTTGAAGGAAATATATTATTTCCTGATATATTGTTTATCAAGATGATGTAAAAGATAAAAAAGATAAGGAATGTATTTACGCTCTTTTGCTTTTTTATCTGATTTTACAAGACTATATGAATAAAAAAGCTATTTTTTTATTTGACATTTTATCATATCTATAATTCTAAAGTAGTAATAAAAAAAACATACGCACATTATATATGTACATTTATATTTGATGTATTATTTCTATAATATTATATAATGACATAATTTTTAAAAAATTACTTTTTTATTTTTAAAGAGCGATATATCGATTTATATACACAATAACGTTTTCAAAAAAATGCACATATAAATTGCTTGAACATTCTGTGGTGTAAGATGTTTGTGTAACAAGGCATTTTGGTACATATTTATTCCAGCATGTAATTTTGATCCTATTTATTCGTTAAGATTTTATTTTACCCGTAGTTTTTTTCGAAGATGCTATATGCTTCTTCTCGCTTAAAACGCTTTGCACATTCGTGAATGAGGTGCAAAGTTCTCGTAATATATTGTGGAGATAATTTTCCCTATGGCCGAGTTTCGTTACTGTTCCCACAATTGATGACGATTACTTACCGTCATCCTACAACTACTCAGTCAAAACAGACATGGGAAGGAAGGGATTTTCTAATTAAAGATTACAGAATTGGCTTTTCTGCTAAAAGAGATCAATCGGTCGAGATGTGTTGATTAAGCACATATCCTTTCCTTCTCTGTTGACAGACTGGTATGGAGTGGGAAGTTCAGAGAGATGGGAAGAGTGACGAAACTATGGATATACAGAACATGACTCCAAATCATCCAGATTCGGCTGTGGTGCAAGTTTCTCGCGAAAGTGCCATCATGGCTGGAGGTTCTCTCTGTGTCAATATGTCAGGAACTGCATCTGAATTTTCTGGAAATTCGTATAATCTAAGTCAAACCGTACTTGTAAACTCGCACCATTCGTATAAAAACAATAACGTTTATCCAATGCAATCTTATTCGTTATCTGAATATAGTCCGAATATTAAAACTGATAGTGATATGCATAGATCGCTACAAATAAATCAGGAACATAGTGATATGCATAGATCGCTACAAATAAATCAGGAACCGGGAATGTCCGTAACTCAATCAACATCGTGCGCAAGCTTGCAACGTTTTATTCCGCAAGCTAGAAAACCCAGTAGATTTAAACCCGCATGGTTAGACACATATTCCTGGTTGCAGTACGACGAACGATCGAATCTTATGTTTTGCAAATACTGTAGAAAGTGGAGCGAATCTATACCAGAAATTCGCACTTCGTTCGCAGCGGGAAACGGCAATTTTAGACTCGAGATTGTGAACCATCATGATAAATGCAAAGCACATAATCTATGCGCGACTAAAGAAAGCGAGGCAAAAAAAAATTACGCTTACGCGACAAAAACGTGCTAGCCTCGATACTTATTATCGTATTCTACTTGTGTCTATCTACCTTATAATCCGTTTCGCTCAATTAATTTAAAAAGAATCAATATTTCTAAATACAATATTCACAATATATACACACTACATTTGTACAAAATTTTAACTAAATTCTTGTCTCTTATTATGCCGCTTTAAAATTTAACCAAACTTGTAATCAGAAATCGTAATAACGAATTTGTAACAGAGTGTGTTACAAGCGTATTGTTATTTGGCTATTTCATCTCTTCGATATATCCAAATTCTTTTTTTCGAAATTCTTTTTTTCGATTCTTATATTTTAATTCTAAATTTTGTGATTCTTGAATTTTATTCCATCTATCATGCTTTTATTATCAGCAATTTTACAAGTGCATTCATACTTTGTTGAATATTATTTTGTAAAAGTTTGTCATATTTTTCATCAAATGATTTTAATGATGTTAAAGTTATTGTTATATGTAAAGTTAAAACAATAAAAAAGCACTATTATAATATATACTATTTTATTATGTAGAAAATAAGCTGATTTATTAATATTTTTATTTCATAAAGAACATATGATATATGCATATTTCTTGCGATCGATAACATATAATTTATATAATAATTGTATAATTTATATACAATTATATAAAAACATTTAAATAGTGTACAAAATGATTTGTAAAATTTCTATAGTCTCGAAAATCATGTAATTTTAATAGATGAATGAGTAAAATATATATAATCCATCTTATCTGTTAAATATGTTTATTTTTACAATGATAAGGCAGAATATTTTTGAGATGACTGAGAAAACTGTAGAAAAATGTTGGTATTTAAAAAAAAAATACACATTGTGTTACATAACTATGTATTTTTAAATCACAGCTATAACATATAAAAAAATTTTCAATATACGAGAAAAAAGGATATTAAGACAAATATTTTTGAGACGATGTTGTTTTGATGAATTCTTAAATTTTTGAATATAATTTGAAATAAAAAATGGCCTAGTAGAAAAATTACTTATTGTCACATTATATTAATTAGAATATATTTAATTTTTTCTAATTAAAGATTATATTATTTTACATTTAAATCTAGTAACACATTTTAAAAATTTTATCGCGAGATATTTATTCTTTGTTATTTATTGTTATTTAAAAAAAGCTATATAAAAAAATTATTAAGAAATAAATATTAATTAATAATAATATAGATTAATAATAAATAAATATTACTTATCAATTTAAGTAAAGCACATCACATACTATTATCCATATGTGAGTAATATTCATAAAACGTTAATCAGTTTTACATTATTGTCAAATGCTTATTTATAAATATGTAATTGTTTTGTGTGCAGGGCCATCCAGTTGGACTGATGGGAGAAGATGGAGGGGCCACTGCAGGAGCGCTCAGTGATGGTATTCAGGGGATCGAATCATCCGAGCACCATAATCCCCCGGAAATGCTCGACGGACTTGATGGTAAGACTTGCACATATTTTCAATTTTACGACCAAAATTTCATTTAGATTTAACATATTTCCTTGTTTTTTGAGTTTCGCATTTTACACCGTTCTTATTTGCGAGTAACTCGTATGTTATGTGAAGATGATATTCGATATTATCTCAGACTTTAACAATTAAACATGATTGAATATTACGCTTGCAGACCATAATTGTGATAAAAGATTTATCAATGCATTATTTCACGATTTGCTATAAGTATCGCGTTTAATTCACGACAATCTCGTCAAGATCTGATTTCGCGTCTCTTGGACGTTTGACATCTCGCGGGCGAAAAGAAGGATCTCTTTGTCAGTTGATGCGTGGGAAATATGTTACATCTAAGAAATCGAGGGAGATCTGCATGCACGTTTTGCAAGAATTTGACACGAGTCGAGTCGTACGTAGGTCTCGTACGAAGCGAGCATCCCTCTATTTCCAAATCTGGCAAGTGTAGTGAATTTTAAGTGTGATTTTAGAAAGTGAAAGATCTCTATATATGTATATATATACAATATATATGTACATGTATACGTGTATGTGTATACATATATTTATATATATGCATACATATTGACACAAATATGCACCGTCTGTGTGTATATACATATATATATATTTAACTACATATGTATATTACATGAACCCTTGGTGTTGTGGTGATGGTATCGTGCATTTGCTACATTCGTCATTGTGGTAGTTTTTAATTACGTGTGTTAATATATACAGAAAACATATAACAAAAACTCTCGTTGGTTTGGGACATGGTATCAGCAAATGGACTGTACTCCTATCTTTTTTTTCTCTCTCTTTTTTTTCTTTTTTTTTCCTTTTTTTTTTCTTTTTGTTGTGTTCAAGATTGCGATGGTGTGTGGGTGCGATTTGAGTTCATCTCGCGTTGTTCTTACACGTGCGCGAGCGCGCGTGCGTGTGTATGCGTGGTGTCACATTAACGAACTCCATTTGCGTGAACGCGCGTAAATGTGCGCCGTGTGTGCGAGATAACGTATACATACATATATATGTCATATATATGTGTGTATAGTATGTGTGTGTGTGTGTGTGTGTGTGTGTGTGTGTGTGTGTGTGTATATATATATATATACATATGTTACAAGTGGACATATATACGCCATATATGCGTATATTGCGTGCACGTGCGAATGCAGATATACGCACATATGCAATTTTCATGACGGGATTCTCTGTGCATGTCTTTATGCTGTATTTTTTTTCTATCTCTTATATACCCTTTGCCGTATCTTGCGTCACCGTGCCTAGCGATCTTGATCTTATATTCTCACGTCTCTCTTGCGCTGTTCGTTTCGATCTACACTAGTGAACGAGAATATTAGCAACAAAATGTGCAGTTGGCGCATCTGGTTGCGCAATCCGTCGTTTGCATTAATAAAGTTGCCGGTCGCGGGAAAAAAAACTCGTTACATAAGACGTTTCTCACATTGTTTGATACTACGAGATGAATATGGAGGCTAACGCGATTATTCAAGAACGAAGGATCCGAGGATCTTATAATCCCAAAGTCTCTATCCTAAAATTATATATAGAAATGGTAAAATGTTTTACTTTAGAAAACTTAAATCTTGCAGATTTTTTCTAATTTGAAAATCTCCATCGATTCTGGAATTGGAAAATTCAAAGATTTGAGTTTTTGCATATATTTTTGTATATCTAGAAAGAATATATAGGTAGGGATTTAAGAAAGATAAAACATTTTTAACGAGATATCTTCTATCGTTTGTCCGCATTAATACGTCACGCTTATTTATAGTCACACGATTCTTATCCACTGCGCATCGTCGATGCATTAATAATAGTCGCCAGCAGCAGCAGAAGCAGTTGCAGGAAAACTCGTAACCCTAGCTATCATTTTTCCTCCTAACGATTATTTCCGAAGCCAAGAAGTATATGCGATTAGACCGCTCATTAAATTGATTTTGTTGCTAACTCTATTCTCCGTTCATATTTTGCATCCTCGACCTCGTGGCGATCTCATCATCGTCGTCGTCGTCATCGTCGCCGTAGTAGTCGTTGATAGTCGCACAATATATTCCTCTTGCGCGATTGCATATTCATATTATAACTAGTTAGTTAAAATGTTGCACGAGATACATTATGCAATAGTTGCCAATAGTCGCGGGTTGCGCGCGTTTGATCTTCGACGAAGCAATTTATGTATAGGCGGTATTTGAGAACCAGGGGGGACAAAGTCTATAGTTCATATCGCGATCTTCGTAGACGGAATTTGTCATGCAAACATTGGTGAATTTCTCTCCTTACTGAGATCTTTATTGAAAATTTATTTTCTATTCGATTTTCTTTTTGTTGATTTGACGTCTCTTTCCTTCTTTCTTTTTCTCCTACGTATTGTGACAGTATCTTTAGTCTCTTGGAACGCGATGAGATGACAGTAGAATTGCGCTTTTTACATTGGTATTGACATTTGCTACGAGTAGGTAATTATAGATGAGAAAGAGCACGGGGTGAAGTCCTTGATGGAATTGGCTGATTCTCCGTCTTGTTTCGATAAACATAGGAAAGTTTGAATTCTTTTTCTTTGAATCGTTATGTCCTTGAATCTGTGATTCTTGTTTTTCTATTCTTATGTCTACGTTATTTCTTCTATGTAATTTCTTTATATATACATATATATGTTTTTAGCGATTATAAAAACAAGAGAGGAAATTAAGCAATTCCATTTATGTACATTACCCTGTATAAATACGAGTGTGGTGTTCGTTATGATATTCTCGTTGACTTTGAACGTAATAGAGAAAATTCTTTTATTTCTCTGCAACTATTTGACGTAGAGTGTGACTTATGGGAAGTATACAAGGTGCTCCATTTAACGTTATCATCCGAAATACCTTTTTTCGCAATGGCGATCTGTCTTTATTTAAAATATTTAAATTTTTCAAAGAACGATATTAGAATTATATCGAAATACGTTATAAAAAATAGGTTCATTAAATAGATCGAAAAATATAAATTTCAATTTTATAAAATATAATAATACAGTTATATAAAGCTAATAATTAAACTATTATTTAGCTTTATGCAAAAATTTTAATTTTGCAAGAATTTCATTAATACATAAATATTTAGCCTTGTCAAAAACAGCAGTTAGTAAAATAATAACTTACTTCACGCAAAAAAATTTTAGTTTTAGAAAAAAATATTTTAAAGTGATATTTTCAAATATTATGTTACAATAACAAAATAATATTTATTTTGAATCTTTATTTTGAATCTTTATTTTGTAATTGTGCATTTACAGACCTTTTTACTAAACTAATTAAGCGCGATGATTTTTTTTAATCCAAGAGATATTATCGCAGATAACATTGCGCAAGAAAAAGGAAACGATTAAGTGTGGTAACGTCGAATCGACCATTCTTATCTTGGGATGATGATAGTAGACACAGTTGGCATTGTCGGTGGATTATGATGATGAATTCATTGAAACGGGACCTTGTATTCCAGGAACAACAAGGACTTTGAAAAAAGAAAAGGATATAAGTAAAGACAATCACAATAAGTTAGAGCACTCGCAGATCGGTATGGAATGCTGCAAGGTTTGCGGCAAGAGCGTAGCCAACATTAAAAAGCACATGAAATCGCACAATCCCGACAAACACGTATGTCAAATTTGTATGATATCGTTGACCAGGTCTGACAATTTGAAAAGGCATATTAAGCTGAAACACGGAATACGAGAGGGCTCCTTGATATCGCCGTTTATGCGTATGGAGCATAAACATTTCTTAGCCAAATCCGAATCGAGTTACTTGACTTAGTAATTCTTGCGTTGCATGATAACAGGCAGTGCGTACACGTGCAAAGTATACTAACCGCGGATTGCGTGAATCTTTGAATTAAGACTATTACGATTTAATCGATCCAGGCGTTATTGAGATATAATAATTTACGGTATTCTCTCAACTAGAACGCCTTAAACTATCGCATATAGTCAAATACTCAGCC